GGGATGCGGGAGATCGAGGCTCGGGATGGTCGGCTCGACGTACGGTGAGCTAGTTCAGCTTGGCTAGGTCGCCCTATGGCGAACTAGGCGAAAAGAACCAGTGGGGCAAAGTCAGCACCTCTTAGTTCGCCCATTGGCGATCTAGCCGGGACGGGACTAGTTCGCCAATGGGCGAACTAGTCGAGATGGACTAGTTCGCGTTTTACGGCTTTTTCGGTTTTTTGCGGTTTTGTAAAACGATTCTCGAGTTTTATAAAACGATCTTCGGATTTCATAAAACGACCTTCGAGTTTTATAAAACGATCTTCGAGTTTTATAAAACGATCTTCGAGTTTTATAAAACGATTTCTCGAGTTTTATAAAATGATTCTCGAGTTTCATAAAACGATCTTCGAGTTTTACAAAACGATTTCTCGAGTTTTATAAAACGATTTCTCGAGTTTTATAAAACGATTTCTCTTGTTTTATAAAACGATTTCTCCAGTTTTATAAAACGATTCTCGAGTTTTGTAAAATGATTCTCGAGTTTTATAAAACGATTCTCGAGTTTTATAAAACGATTCTCGAGTCTTATAAAACGATTTCTCGAGTCTTATAAAACGATTTCTCGAGTTTTATAAAACGATTTCTCGAGTTTTATAAAACGATTTCTCGAGTTTTATAAAATGATTCTCGAGTTTTATAAAACGATTCTCAAGTTTTATAAAACGATTCTCGAGTTTTATAAAACGATTTTTCGAGTTTTATAAAACTATTCCTCGGGTTTTATAAAACTGTTCTTTTTGTATTTTCGCGGGAGTTTTGGCTATTAATTCCGTCGTACCGATTTTGACCCCAACATGGTCCGCCGCTATTTCCTCTTTGTCTGGGGTGGAAAAAACAGGAAACTTCTTATTATCGCTCCCTCCTTTTCCTCTTTTCCGAATTTTCTGCTTTTATGAAGGAGAGTTCTTTCCTTTTTTGGGGTCGCCTGAGGGTTCCTGTCCTAGGTATATATTACTACCTCCTCTCGTTGAAAGATGTTACCCGAGATGTTAGGAAGCCTTTCTTCTAGCCTTGAGAACATGAACAATCAGGTCAATCTTTCATTGTTCTCATCTTCCTGCATTGGGGGACATGTTAGGCCCCGTCGTGTCTCTTCAGATCCATTTTCTTCCCCGATGACATCGCCCAGGGCTGATCTTGGAGCAGATGATGTGATGACGCCTCGGGCTCCTCTACGGCGCAGGGTTTTTCACCTCTCTCATGAAGTAGGTGGTGATGGTCCTCGTTCTAGTATCGGGGAGGAAGATTTAGCCAGGATCCGTAGGAAATACTCGGTTCCTGACTTGGTGGGATTGAGATGTGGCGGAGAATTTGAACGCGCGTCGGATGGTGGCGTTGGTGAGATGGTCGTCTATGAGGATTATTTGGAAGCCGGATTTAAGGGAAATGTTCCTTCCTTGGTAACATGTGTCATCTTATTTTGGCTTTTCCCCTTCGTAGCTGACTCTGTCGTAGTGGCCTACGTTGATTGCCATTCAAGTGTTAGGAGAACTTCAGGGTATCCCATTGGGGGTGTCTGAAGTCTTGTATTCCTACAGCTTCGTCCCTTTGCGAAATAGAAGGGAGATTTACCAAATATGGTCCCTAAAATAACCTCAAAACCTTTTAAGGGCATAACTAATAGGTCGGCTAAAAGGGTTTCGTGCAAAAGCACAATAGGAATGCTCAACAACATCCTTTCAGCTTTCAAGGGTTGGCCTCCAGGGGTTAGGACCGAAATATCAAACATCAATTGTCACAAGGGTTCCTACAAACCTAGAGGCTACAACCTGGCTCACAAAACTATGGTTTGCTCCCGCATAAAACAAAACAACAGCAGGGGTTCCACCAACCTTCAATGATCCTAAAATAAGATTAACACACTAGCATTCATCAAGAATGCTAACATCACAAACTACTAACAACTCAGTAATAATTTAAACACACAAAAGAGAGAGTTAGCCCCCAAACAAACCTGTCACAGGACCATGCGATGGTTCTGGAGCATTGGATGGAGTCCCTTCCATCTCCAGATGCAGGACGCCTGGCTGGGTGTTCATTGGTTGGTCGGGTTGGTTGGGTACTCGCAAACGCTCAATACATTCCATAGGCCTTGGTCCACTATCGCCTATTTGGTTGGCTGAATCTGGAACGTCACAAAAGTTGTGGTAGTTTGCGTCCCTTGACCCATCATGACCCGACGTTTCGAATTACCCTCCTGCTCCTGATCCTTGTTTAGACATCTGCACAGATACATGGGTTAATCCTAAATTTCCCCTACAGGACTAATCCTAGTTTCTACTCCTAATACCCTTAAGCGGAGTGAACCGGTTTCCTAATGTAGCATAAGTGACTCATTTTGACTCGATAAAACATGAAAATGTTGCAGCTTATGAGCATGATCAGAAATCATGCTCTGATACCACCATCTGTAATACCCCCAGACCATCCTAGGCTGGACTAACCCGGAACGACCCGGAAGCGCCACAAGTATAGCTCGCCGGACCAGATCGACCAAGAATCAAGAACAAATCAAGACTCTCGACCAACCCGTCTCGATTCGCTATATCCTCGACACTATGGCCTAAGGCTTTGCAACCCGTACCACGCTCGTCGAGTTGTGTCGACCCGGACAAGTTCTATATCATTTAGCACACAACCACAAATATAAACATACTTTCATTAATGGTAGATGGAAAGCGTCTTATAAAACATTACAAAATAACAGAGTTTGCGAGCGCGGCCTAATGCCAAAAGAAAGAAAAAGGAAAATAATTATACATCCAAAAGTCGGTTCTTTCTTATGCTTATGCCACTTCGAATCTACACCGGTTGCCTACCGTTACGCTGCCCTCTAGTCTTCCCACCTACTGGTTACCTGCATAGTATAAGAGGGTATGAGTAATCGAAATTACTCAGTGGGTTCCAAGATAAACAACAACGATCCCCCCCCCTTCAGCCCATGCTCAAACAAACAACAAGCAATTATGCAATCAAACAATAATTCACAATAAATCAACAATGCAGAAGCGTGGAACATGAATGCAATGCAACTACTAAAAAAATGCATCCTATCTCTCTACCGAGACCTAACAATACTCAATGCAGTCTAGACTCGATCCTACACTCGACTACACTCACAACATTCGGAAGTACACAACATCTTGGGATCCCAACACATCGGAGCCCTAACCCTCCTCCCTTGAACACTCCCGACCACAAACACAAAAGTCAAATGATCGGAAAAAATCATCTCCGGAGAGTCCCACCGCGAGGGGTATACCACCGGGCCGCGTCGTCACGCAGCGCTCGTCCATGGGCGCGACCCACTTGACGGTGACAAGCCATGGAGGGTAGATCACTCCACCACTTGAGAATTGGGCTTCTCCCAATCTAAAAAAATGGTCCAAGCATATCATCGGAGAGTCCCACCGCGAGGGATATACCACCAGGATAGCCACACACACACAAGCATTAGTCTAGATGCCACACAAAACAAACCAGAATGAGGGAGCTCCACCCCTAACCTCCATGCAATGCGCATCTAGACTAAATGCAAAACACACTCACTCGCGCTAGTCTAGACCAAAGTACAAAATACAACCAGCATTAGGGAGATCCACCTCTAACCTCCATCCATACCTGGTCAAGACTAGAAAAACAACACGACTCAAGCGAGTGACACACCTAGACTATATGCACTAACTACTAACAATGCATGCAAACAACACAACACAACACAACACAATCGACAAGAGAGAATCTCACTCAAATCTCTTGCGGTTCAACACAATATAATAACTAGATAACTCAAAAATATCTAGATCATACAACAAAAGAATAATCACAATATGTATGCATTCCGCACACATTCGCTCAGGGCCCTGCACGAAACCAATTAAACCATGCCTCGGGTCTCCACTTAAGACCCTTTGGTCTAACCTCCAACCTGCATACAAAATACACAATAAAAGTCTTCGGAAACTAACAGGAAACCCACCGGCTTACTGCCTAGAAAGACTACCCAAACAAACCGAAAACACTACTAAAAACTCGGTTTCTCTCTCTAACTTCACCTCTCTCTCTAAGGTACTCACGTTTTGGTATGAAGAAAATTGAATGGAGGGGTCTGGTATTTATAGGAAAATAGAGCTGAGGATGGCTCGACAAGTGGACATTGTGCATGGAGTTTTGTGGACATGTGTCCCACTCACCAAACTTAACTTGCAAGCTTCCTCTTTCTGGAACATTCTTCAGCTTTGTCACAAAGTTTCCACTCCCTTGCAAGCCAAGTTTTACCTTCTGGAAGCTCACAAACTTGGTCTCCAATTTTCCTCTTGGCCAATGAAAAATCGCCACATGTACCGCCACATCACCAATTTCAGCCAATTAGTGCTTGTCATGTCATCGCCATGTCCTCTTGTTCTGGCCAGTTCAGAAACTCCTAAAACTCCTATTCAGATGTAAACTCACACTCCTCGATCATTCTAGACAAATCTTACTCTCCTTGGTTCCCTTTCTTCGTTCTTCGATTTTTTGGTTTTTATCAATTTTTGTCGACCATCACCCAAACGCTTCTCGACCACGACCAATTCTTGTCTCGTCCAACTCATGGTCAAGGTCTTGACTTTTCTATTCATGATCAGGGTCATTACAGTGATGCTGTAAATGGGGCGAGGATTACTGCCTGGTGGGAGTTAATGCGAGAGTAGCTCAAGCGACAGACCAGCAAGTGGGATTTCCCCAAGTAGTTTGATCAGTATAAGACTGTGGTCCTAGCAGAGGCTGGCATTAAGGGTATCGCTCCTCCCAACTTTGAAGATGAACCGGCTATTCCTCCTTCTTCAGATATGGAGGTGAACCTTTTTGCTAAACCGGACGAATCTTTTGCTAGAAGGCCGGTTTTCCATCAGTTTTTTTTGCTCTTCTTTCAGAGGTTTTTTTGTTCCCTGGCTTCTTTTTTTATTAAAAAAACGATGGCTCTTAGTGGCTTTTGGAATAATGGCCCTTCATGGCTTCTTTGAATGCATTTTGGATTTTTTTTAATCATGTCGCACCCATTTATTATCTTTAACTCATGATCAACTCCTTTAAGCTTGGTAGGAATCTAATCTCTGATAAGTGTTGCTCTGGTTTCTTTCGTAGTTTGTCTTGTCTTCAAAAGGCATTGAACCCTTTATATATACTTGGAGATCCTTATCTTCGGTCGTTTTTCGCCTTCCTTAGATAGGCTATTGCCGACTGTAGGCTATATGCTAGTAGTGGGATATTTTAAACTCGGAGGCAACCTTAGTGAATTAGATCACCTAAGCCCCGAGCCTTTTCTTGTCACACTCTGCTTCCCTTAGGTAGGCCGCTATCTATTTATAAGTTCATAGAGTTTTGAATGTCACATTCCACCTCTCTTAGGTAGGTTACTAACGACGTAAATATTAGGGGTCCTTGGACTGTTAGGATCAAAATCGGTTACGACGGAATCAACGATTGTTAGACTGGTGGACTGTTGGACTGTTGCCTCTTCGTCGACTTACGCTTAGGAACCCATAAATTAGCGTTGGGGGGCTCGGCAGCACGCGTAGCTTCCAAATACCTCTCGACCCCCTCTTCATCTGAGGTAAATCTTAACAATGCCAGTGAAGGAAGTACTTTACCAACGAAACACTCAAGATCACTCGGATCGAAAATGGATGGATGAGCACATTTAGAAGCTCCGCCTTCAGTAGACATGCTTAACAAACAAGTGTGGAAATATCCAAAGAAAAGAGAGAGAGAGATTTTCTCTAAAGATAAGGAAAATTTTATGTGGAAAGAAGTGAGTAAAGAATTTTAACACTTACTCCACATATTTATAAGCAAAATTTTTCTATTCACTTTTGGACTTTTAGTCATTGAAGTTCCGCCTACTTCTACCAAACTTGCCAAACAGGTTCAAACCGCCGCAAGAACTCTACGATTCTTACGGGCTGGGGGGCTAACTGTTGGGGTCAAAATCGGTTACGGCGAAATCAACGACTAAAACTTTCCGCAAAGATAAGAATAGGTTTTAAAAACACAAAAAGTGTCGAGAAGATATCTAAGGATTCTCTGAACATAGCAATTCCTTAAAACTAACAATCGTCATCTTGGAAATCGTTGGGAAATCGAATAAAACAATCCGCGATTGTTTTATTGGCCAAGTTAACAAAAAACGGCCGTAACGTCTAAACTCCCCGAGATATTAAAAGTATTGTTAAGATCGGAATCAACACCTACGGGCACTTCTCCTTACGTTCTCCGCAAGGATCTCGGGTCGAGAAAACAAGAAAAGATCAAAACAGAGCAACCGTCCAGCTCGCCAACAGGCGAGATTACCACACATGTGACCAGCTCGCCCGTTGGCGAGCTAAACGCACCTGTCCAGCTCGCCAATGGGCGATCTGAACACATCTGTCCAGCTCGCCAATAGGCGATATGACCACACATGTGACCAGCTCACCCATTGGCGAGCTGAACACATCTGTCCAGCTCGCCAATGGGCGAGCTGACCACACATGTGACCAGCTCGCCCGTTGGCGAGCTGAACACATCGGTCCAGCTCGCCAATGGACGAGCTGACCACACATGTGACCAGCGCGCCAATGGGCGAGCTAACCACACATGTGACCTGCTCGCCAGTTGGCGAGCTGAACGCATCTGTCCAGCTCGCCAACGAGCGAGCTGACCACACGTGTAACCAGCTCGAAAACATGCAAGCTGAGTTCAACCATCTATGCCCCTTAACTCCATCCTATTCTGAACCGTGATCGGAACATCTTTCGTTTCGTCTTAATTCGCCTTACCGTTTGAGTTATACGATAAAAACCGTAAAAGGCGTGTTTTTAGTAAAACCTAGAGTAAATCGTATAAAACGGAAACGGTTAAACGAAACACCGTACATTACCAAACTATATAATTAACTCGAGAATTACTTTAAAAAATCACTAAAGACACGTTTTCTCGTAAAACCTCGAGTAAATTGTATAAAACGGCAACGGTTAAACGAAACACCGAACATTGCCAAACTCTACAATTAATTTGAGAT